TTCCTCACTCCATTCAATAAAATCCCAGAAACACGCCTCTAAATTCAATAACTTTTTCAGGTTTGGTTTAATTTTGGTTCATAGGTAAGAATGGCAAGCACGTGCATATCGACATCGGCTTCGTCTCTTCGATTAAGTTCTCCGCTCTTCTCTCCAACCAATCTTGATTCTCATAAGTTTTCTCTTCCTTTGCATCCCCTTCGTCCCAGGTACTTTCTTTTTGGTTTCATCTTGGAATAGAACCCATGTTTTGTTGCAATGTTAATTTCTTCAGAGAGGGTCCAAGATCCATTTTTTTATGTTTTCGATTTTACTTAATTGGCTAAAGTTTTATAAGTATTTTTTTTTAATTTCATTTTCAGGAAATTGAAGAAGCTACTTAGTAATCAAAAGAATGTGATTAGTTCTCAGCCAAAGGCTGTTTACACAGGAGATTTTTGGTCTCCAGAGACAAGTTCTCGACAGGGAATTTGGTCAATAAGGTAAGAGCTTGTATGGAACTATAACCCCCTTTTTTTAAATTTTTTTTTTTTTGTTATAAATAAAGATGAATGATTTTATTCTGTAACTATGCAGGGATGATTTGCAAGTTCCATCGTCACCTTACTTTCCTGCATGTGCACAAGGGCAGGGGCCGCCTCCGATGGTGCAAGAGAGATTTCAAAGTGTTGTCAGCCAACTTTTTCAATACGTAAGGATTTGGTTTGGTTGTGAGTTTTAGCTTTAGCAAAACTAGGTCTTTCTCTTTTCAGCTTCTTATGTTGGGTGTTTGTTTCCGTTGTTAGAGAATTATTCGCTGTGGTGGAGCCGTTGATGATGATATGGCAAACATTATTGTAGCCCAGCTTCTCTATCTTGATGCTGTTGATCCTAATAAGGTCTCTTCTGTTCCATGTTTGCTTACTTCCTCTCAATCATACACATCTTTGGATCCAGTATGCATGTTATTTACGATTTGTGTGTTGTTTGCTCTTGTCAACAGGACATTGTCATGTATGTCAATTCCCCTGGAGGGTCAGTTACAGCCGGTAATGTATCTATCTAATGAGAATTATGTATTTATACTTCCATTGGGTGGTTTCAAATGCCAATCTACGTACAATTTTCATTGATTTGCCTAACTTGTGTGGTTTTGAATCCCTCCTCCTTTAGGTATGGCTATATTTGACACCATGAGGCATATCCGGCCTGATGTCTCAACTGTGTGTGTTGGACTTGCAGCTAGGTATAAATTGATTGATGTAAATTATTTCTGCTGACAGTCCAATTATATTTTCAAATATCGAATATGGAACATCAGATAACAATAGTTTTGCAGCTATGCCAGCTTGCTTGGTCTATTAATCAGGGATAATTTATCTTAACTTTGAAACTTATGGGTTTTTATTCATTCTGACAGATGTTGCATCCTTGATGAGTATATTCTTAATATGAGTAATATATGTATTTTTCTTTTGACTCAATGGGCCATAATACTTCAATTTATTTGAGATCGAGGAGGTCTAGTGATAGGATTTGTTTTATTTTATTTCTCATGTTCCCCTACTTGATGCTTGACCTTTGTATTTGTACATTCTGTTTGGCGTCCCAACTTGTTCCTAGAATCTTGATGACAAAATAATCACACAATCCATTTGACTGTCAAAAGAATCTTATGCTCTTTATTTAATATTTACCCAGATGCTTGGAAGCTTAGAATTGGGTTATAGCTTCACCTATGTTAACAATATGACAAACTAAAGTTTCTAATGCAAGACCATGAGATTGACTTTTGGAAATTTGTAAACCTTTTTTCGTGAAATGCATTTCTGAAAATGAAGATGTTTATGGATGCTCCTGAGAATAAGATTTTCTATTTTCATGGGGATCCAATTGTTTTCTTTTAGTAATGGAGATGTTTTATTTTTCCATGAACAGCATGGGAGCCTTTCTGCTTAGTGGAGGAACCAAAGGTATATCGAGTGCTTGTGTTTCGTACCATTCATAGCTCTGTTGTTTGATGTAATTTCCTACGGTCTACTAGATGCACTTATCCCGTTGTTTTCTTCGAAACTCAAGGAAAACGATACAGTTTACCTAATTCAAGAATAATGATACATCAACCTCTTGGTGGAGCTCAAGGAGGTCAAACTGATATCGACATTCAGGTATGGGTTTTTCTCTGCAAACTTCATATGTTCTTTAAATTTTTTGTGCTTCTGCCTTCCCTAGGCCGTAACCCTCTGTGGGAATCAAATAAAATCAATTTATTCTAGAATCTTGATGTTTTTGATACTATAAGAGACAGCCAAGTGTTAGTGAACATGTATTTTTGTTATTAAAGATAAGAAAAGGATTAGACAGTGTACCAGTGGGGTGCCCTCGTGAGGACTCTTGCCAAACATCAACAATTTGGATTTGTTGAACTGTGCTTAGCATGTAGTTTCATTTTAGTTCAGTTAAGCCGTAACTTGATGGTTGAACATTAATGATAATCACAGGCAAATGAAATGCTGCACCATAAGGCGAACTTAAACGGGTATCTTGCTTACCATACTGGCCAAAGTTTGGAGAAGATTAACCAGGATACCGACCGTGATTTTTTCATGAGCGCAAAAGAAGCCAAAGAATACGGACTAATCGATGGTGTCATCATGAATCCTCTGAAAGCTCTTCAGCCACTACCCGCCACAGCTGATAGTGATGAATAATAGCCTCCTGGTGTTGCTATTTGTTACTTTTAGCTAACTTTGCTATCAACGTATGCTGTTTAATGGATAATTCTGTGTTTCACCTTGACTCATCTCTTCTGCCACTTTATCCACTTTTGGGGTTTTCTTAGATTTAACTATTTAAGGTGTTTGTCCGAACGGTTAAAAGCATTCATTCGCGAAAATTTTAGAAATCCAATTTCATTGAAACATCGTCAGAGGAGATTAGAGCATTAGAAATTGAACCTTTAGATAGAGTTTTGTCGATTTTGAGTGAATTTTGTCGAAAATTTATTCAATAAAATAAAGTGAAATGAACATTTTAGTACTAATCTTATTGCAAATGACGATTGATAATAGGCAATAATTGATCGATAATGGAGGTATGAAGAGTTGAAAGTTTTCTATCTAAAATTGAAATATTTTAAAATTTATAACAATAAGTTGGTTTAGTGAGATAAGATATTAGATCCTTAAGCAAAGTCAGAAATTTAAATCCCGACATTTGTGAACAAAACAAATTGAGTTGGAAGGGTCATCTTTATCTATGTAGTACTCGATTTGAATTAATCGATTGATAAACCGAAAACCGATGATTATACTAAAAAATAACAAGAAAAGAATAAATCATCATGTTGTATCTAATGATTCAACATCTTAATTGAATCTGAAACTAAAGTTTAATATTAAAATTAAAATAAATTAAAGTTCAGCTATAGAAACAATACAAAACTTAAAATTAAGTGATATTTCAGATAATTTACCCTAAATTTAAAATAGAAATCAACCAAATATGTGGATGAAATAATTTCTTAAAATTGTGGTATTCAAAGAGGAGAAATGGAGATGTTGGCCCATCCTGAGTTGAGCCCATTATTTCACAAGGGCAAAATAGAAAATTTCTAAACTATATTGTACAAAGATCCAAAGGTCGTGGAAATCAATCACAGGTTCCCTTGATTTCTGAATCTTCATCACAGCCTTTCAGGTAAACCCTAATCTATCGCTCTCAATTGTCTCCATCTTATGCCTATGCTTGGAAACGTTGATTTATTTGTTTTAGTTATTGCTCTGGAATATTTGAGATCCGTTTCAGGGGTCTAATATTAACTGCAAAATAGGTTTTACGATCGTTTCAATTATGCTTTGAAAGTTCCGGCTAAATTTCCTATATTTCTTTTACACCTAACTGCTATTCGAAATGTTAATATTTGTATATTTTCATTAGTTTAACTGTTTGGCAAACTAAGAGAGTGGAGACGAGCTATCCATGTATTTAGTTTGAGTGTTTAGACCCAAGAGATAGTATATGTAGTTTCATCGAAACTGCCATTGAATTGAAGTAACCAAAAAAGAATGAATTAATTGAAGCTTTTGATATGTTGTTTTGGAATATAGGAAAGACATTAGGGCCTAACTCCACTACTCCATTGATGAATTTAAGGTGTAAAGCATTGAACAATGCTCAGAGTTGATACGGTCCTGGAACATAGCTTAAGTGATGAAGAATTTAGCAGGGCTATGTTAGGTTTAAGCCTGTAATCTCTTATGGAGCCAACATGAAAGTTGTTTAACCACATATGCTAACTAAAACTACGTTGGCCTTGAACCAAGGCACTTTTTCTTGCTTATGTATATGTATCTCCCAAACCTTTCTTGCTTTATAACCACCCTGCAAATCACCAACTTGTAACATTGCATCTCTGAGTTTAAGTAGTTTAAGTAACATTGCCAAATAGTGCATCCTTTCAGAAAATACTTCTCAATCCAAGCCACCCAAAGTGAACATGATTGAGTAAATATCAGCCGCAAGCATTTCGTCATGCAGGCTTTATTCCATACGGTGTATCTTTAACCCCGAGTCCTCCTCTTTTTGGTTGACAAATTTTCTACCAGCTAACTCTAGCTCCTCTAGCTGAAATTTCTTTCTCCTTCCAAAGAACTGAATTGCATACCTTAGTAATCCTCTTGATCACCTTTGAAGGAAAAATAAAAATTCTACTCCAGGAATTTTGTACACGAAAACTATATTGGTCCCAAAACAAATAGATAGATAAGTAGTATATATACATACATAACCATCTTGGGTGAAAAGAAACAATATTAGGGAACAAATCTGCATATGCAATTTCAGCTTCCCTCCATTTGGAGCAATATAGTTTGAAACCATGGCTTGTAAAGCCATATGTTTTTCAGAAGTAGCATGAATTTAATGTTATAAATTATAATTGGTTAAGCTTACTCTATATGTTTATTTGATATGGGTTTACTTGCGACTTATGGTTACCTATATTTTCAGGAATTGCCATATGTTTCACTATTAGGTTTATGAACCTTTGTGATCTCTGCTGGTTGCATTTCTGTTTTGTCAATTGATTTGCATGTTAAAATTACTTTAAGTTGTGGTATTCTTGGATTCCTCCATTTCTACGGTTGGAAGATGAAAATTTTTTATTCTTGGTTCCAGGTTTATTAGATTCAACTATAGAAGTGAAATGGCCGGATCTAGGATTGCTCATGCTACCTTGAAAGGACCAAGTGTCGTTAAGGAGATAGTTATCGGAATAACGCTCGGCCTTTGTGCTGGTGGGCTTTGGAAGACGCATCACTGGAATGAGCAGAGGAAAGTGAGAGCATTCTATGACATGCTTGAGAAAGGCGAAATCAGTGTTGTTGCAGAAGAATAAGTATTGATGTTTTGTGAATTTGTTGTGACAACTTTGGCTCTATTTTGATCTTTGTGATCCTCTTCATTTGGCTCTTTTATTTATTTTGTTTATATATCGAATATGAATAAAATTTTATTAATAAAAATATTATTAGTAATAGTTGTTGTTTTATGTATAAATAACATTGTATATGCTTTTTTAATTATTTTGTTTATATATCGAATATGAATAAATTTTTAATTATTTTTTCAAGTTCAATTATATATTCAATATATGTATAATTAAGATAAACGAATAACACTTCTAAAATCTTCAATAAAACAAATTGAACACGAACAAAAAAACTAATTCATTTGAAGCATACATTTAAATTTGATTTATTTATTAATATCGTCATCTCATATTATTAAAAAATTAATTTATTTATTATATATTTTTTTAAATATTTTAATATAATTAACTTGAAATCAATGTTAAAAAAATAATATTCCAATAAATATCTCAACTTGTATGGAACGTGGAGATATATTATTGGTTGCAAGGTGATAAGAAATTTGTGGAGCATTGCGTTCCCAATTAAAGACCCCAATTTCCGGAAAACATAGCAAACCATTTTCTTTCTCTAAGAGGGAAAACAAGAACAATGACAATGGCAACCCTGTCTAGTCTTAACCTCGCAACCCCAAGGATGACAGCCAACCTACCGGATTCTAACAAGGTTAACACCGTCAAGGCTCCATACCTTAACCAGAACCGGCCATGGAAAATGGTAACCCATTTGGGTTCTAGGAGGATGCGGGCGATGGTGCCCGTGAAAGCTGCACCTGATAGCTTATCGGAGAAGGTGGAACAGAGCATCAAGGAAGCACAAGAGGCGTGCTCCAACGATCCGGCGAGTGGAGAGTGCGTGGCCGCTTGGGACGAGGTGGAAGAGCTGAGTGCAGCAGCCAGCCACGCTAGGGACAGGATGAAAGACAACGATCCTCTGGAGAATTACTGCAAAGACAACCCTGAGACTGATGAGTGCAAAACTTACGATAATTGAAAGTTATGGGGTTATTAGTTTATGATCCTTCTGTTTTAGATGATACAGAATGGGTGTTGTACTCTTACTTTGTTTATGTGAAACTGAAGATCATTTGGTAATTTAAAACGTTTATTTATATCACGTGAACTTTTCTGATGCCGTCCAGAATACGGGTGCTTATCGAATGAGTGGACGCGAGTTGTATGGGGATCTATATTTGTGTTCGTTAAAAAAATTTGTTGGTAGATTTAATTCGTTATTTGTTAAGTTCGTTAAATTTTTACTTGATTTGTGTTCATTAAAAAAATTTATTCGACTTATTGTTCGTTAAACTCGATGCTCATTAAGTTTATCGAAATTTTTATTTTATTTTTTTAATTATAAGTAAAATTTATTAATATTATGTAGAATTTAATATAAATATAAATTAATAAATTTAATAAAAATATTATCAAAAGAGTGTAAGATATAATTTTAAAATTTAAACTCTAAATAATAATTTATAAATATATTAAAATAATAAATATAGTTTGATTTTTGAGTATAGTAAAATATTAATTAATAATTTAGTATTTTTTTATTGTTTATTAGAAAATTAATAGATTAGTAATTTATCATTTTTTCTATTATCTATTACTAAATTAGTAATTTTTAATGATATAATTTTTTAAGATAACAATTGAAAAAATTACATAAAAAAAATTAACGACCTTCTGCAAACTTATCGAGTCGAGTTAGACTTTACTCGAATCCACTCGTTAAGGTCTTGAGTTGAGATTGAGTTTGACTTGAGTCATTCCGAATCGAGTTTTTATCAAAGCTTGATCGAGTTGAATTTGAACTGCTCAACTCATTAAGGACCTCTAGTCTCGATATGCTTTAGCAATGAAACTATGCTTTATTGATAATTGGAGTCTGGAGACTTTGAATACCCTAAATTAAAACTTGATGTAAAAAAAAATCATGGGAGTCTACACAACTACTCTCTTATAAATCATAATAATTTTTATAAAGAAGAGAGATTGTTTGACATCAAATGGACGATTATTAAAATTAAAACAATATCGTTTATCAACGTATAGATATACTTTTTTTTATAAATAAATATGCTTTCATATATATTATTTTACACGACATGTTTATTTTAATGTTATATATATTTTATTGAAAAGTTAATATTTAAGTAGAGAGTTTTAAATTTTATGATTAAATTGATTACGTAAAATAAATTTTCCAAGAGAAAGCTAGAAAGAATCCAAGAATATCACTTGCTGGCGTTGGCCAAATCTATCTACCATGAAGAATATTAATGTATTGGATAAATCATATGACGCGGTGCGTTGTCTACAAAGACTGGCGGCAGCCATCCAAATTGGAAACGGTTTACAAATAATCCGTTTATTTTATTTAGTTAAGGTTTGCCTACAGATATTGTTTACAAGACGTGTTCATGTTGAATTTGACAATTTCGCATACATTATAACTATAACAAACAATGGTATAAATCCAGAGTGATAAATATGCCAATTCCACCTCCAAACAAAACTCCATTTAAATCATCTATTTTGAACGAGTCAATGATTCCAACTAGTAAATTTGTATTATTTTCGGAATCCAAATCATTACGTGTTCAGACATTTTTAAATTTTATTCATTTCTTCATCCAATTATTCAGAATTTATTCGTATCATTTTGAATTTGAATATCCTGATATCAGAATCCGAAGAACCATAGCAGCATTTAGTTAAATGCTCTGTTTATGATTCCAAATCAACACACAATAACAAAGAAACTGACAACAAAAGAGCCATCGAAATCCAAAACCAACATTTCACAGTAGAAATCCCAGAAAACAGAATCACACCAAAGAAACCAAACTCAAAATTCAGCGGACTTCACATCACATAGTTCTAATAGCATAATTATATTAGGAGACAGTTGCATAAATCTAATTTACAAACGACTCCCAAGCACAGACCGACTCCAACAAAAGGACTCACAATTGCCAAACAGGAAAGGAAGGGTCTATGCTTATTCCATCAACACTCAAACATGTCGACCGATGCCATGATTGGTTGTATTGGACAAGGGAGATGACATGGTTTCATCAGAGGATCCGGAATCTCCGGTATATCGACGGCAAACCCGCTGACTTCTTCCACAATGTGCAGCACCGAGTTCAGGGACCGCAGCCTCTCAGTCAATTCCACCGCCTGAGCTCTCAACACGTTGTTTGCATTTTCCATTTCGATGTAGCGTTGGGTTGCAATGTTGATCTTCTCAGAGAGAAGACCGTTATCTTTCTGCAATGCGCTCGTTTCGTTCACTAAATCTTCGAGCTGCTTCTGCTTTCTAACACGCGATCGCCTCGCGGATTCACGGTTGGACAACATTCTCTTCCTTTTCCTCTCGTCAACGTTTGCATATCGAGGATCGGAATCAGAAGAACTCGCCTGCCTTTGCACAGTAGCCATAGGTGAAGTGTTTTCTTTGTTGATCGAGAAGATTATTTAGATTGGAATATGAGAAATTGAATGATAATTAGGGATTTGAAATTTCAATAGTCAAGATTGATGAACAAATTCATGAGAAAACGTAGAACCAGTAAAGGAAGACAACCGAGAACGAGTGAAGAATACGGATTCGCCGCATGAGGATTAAGTTCATAGAAAATCTAAAATCATTGAAATGGTTTTACAAACCGCAGATTGAACATGAAAATAAACAGCAGAGAAATAACAAAGAACAAAAAGAAATCCTAGATCTAAACCAGATCTAAACGAAAAGGAGAAGGGAAAACGAAGCCTGGAATGGAACAATAAAAATGAAGAATACTTAGCTGGTTGGGCAAAGGGAACGCGAGGAGAGACCGAGAGTAGACAACACGCGCGCGACCAAAAGCGAAAGAAAGAAGGTTGAGAAAGGTAGTGGAAGGGGGTTTTTATAACAAGGATGGGGGATTGGATTTGCTTTGGTTAGGTTAGGTTAGGTTAGGTTTGGTAAAAAGAAAATATAATAAAAAAATAGCAACTGAGGTGGAGGGCTATTTGGTCTTTTGGATGGTTAACTTTTGAAACAAGGAGTGCGATCGGTGTCACCGCCAGCCATGCATATTTAACGCGTTCTTGCAGTCCTCTTCAAAGATTTTTAGGCAAAAATGCCAGAATAATGCATGTGGGGAATATTTTTTCCCCAACTAATGCCCTTTGCCTATTATTTCCCCAAATGGGGTGAAATATACAGTGCTTAATGTGGTTCTTTGGAAAGCTCGGCGTCTTTAGGCTGTCGTCGTCTTCAACTTGGATATCCCGGCGTCTTCAGCAGATGTGGAAGCGTGGGAGCTGTGCATGATCTCTCGGCGTCTTCAGTTGGATTCTTCATAGGAACTCTCGGCGTCTTCAGTGCTGTGCATGGGACCGGACGTGAGAATCACGGGTTCTGCAAGGAGAGAGCACGGGTTCTGCAAGGAGAAATCACGGGTCCTGGGTCCTGCAAGGCTGCACGTCCGCATGTGGGGGTCCTGCACGTCTGCATGTGGGGGGCATGCAACTGATGGATTTCTCGGCCTCTTCTTTACATTTAGGTAAGGATTTCTCGGCGTCTTTGCATGGAAAGCTGGATAGCTCGGCGTCTTCTTAACAAATAAATATGGATGAGTTACGAATGTGTTTATAAGAGATGCTCGGGCTGAGGCTGAGGCAATTCACAATTACAGAAGCAGTGAGAGCTTGAGAGGGAGATTGATCAGCAGTGAGAGCTTGAGAGGGAGATTGATCACAAAGCATAGCCTGAGGTAATTTAAACTCAAGCCCTATATCTCATTTGATTCTTATTTTAAAGGTTTATGGTTTCATATTGATCTCATAATTTTAGTTTCATAAGTTTATTAATTTTGTGATTATATGTTGTTACACTCTGAAATAATAATTTATATGTTGTTACATAATTTGAAATAAGGTTGGGACCATTTTGGAACATTGTAAAGTTTTAGGGACATTTTGTAAAATTTAAGGAATTTAAGGAATAAGAGTAAATTATTAAAAGTTGCTATACTATGCTGGAATTTAGTATTAGTATGCTTAATTGGTTAAATTAGAAAGAATTTAAAATTTATGGATTAAATTGCTAACTTTGAAAATGTTGAGAACCAAATAGTAATTAGGATCGTTTTGCAAAATTTGAGGAATTTAAGAAATTAGAGTAAATTATAAAAAGTTGGTATACTATGCTTGAATTTAGTATTAAATGCTTAATTGGTTAAATTTGAAAGAATTTATAATTTAGTGATTAAATTGCAAAGTTTGAAAATGTTGAGAAGCAAATAGTAATTAGGGATAATTTTATATTTGATGTTTATTTTTTATTAAAGTAGATAACATGCAATTGATTATTTGAATAAAACAATGTAATAATTGAGTGTAATATTTAATTTTTTTTGTCTAGATTTGTTGAAACATGGCCGAAGAAAATGTTCTTTTGAGGCTAGATGGTCGACACATTTCGAGTAATTTGGGAGAACTGGTAATATGATCGCTTATTTTTTTTATTTGAGAACGGTGTTTAATTCTAATTACAATGACTACTAAATTGCAGGATGACGAACAACGAGTCCTTCGTCCTCGACTTATCAACTGTGAGATGCCAGATCAACGTATTGTTGATAATTTGAAAACAGTGGGTTTTTATGATGTTGCTTTTGTAAGAGAATTTCGGTTGATCCCCGGTTTGATAAGTGCATTAATTGAAAGGTGGAGACCAGAAACTCATACTTTTCATCTTCCATGTGGTGAATGTACGATCACTTTGGAGGATGTGGCTTTACAACTAGGGGTTCCTACAAATGGAATGGCAGTGGTTGGAAATACAGATCTTGACATGTTTGCAATATGTGAGCGTTACCTTGGGAAGGTACCAGACAAAGATGTAGCAAAAGGGTCACGGCTGAGATTATCCTGGTTGGCAAATGAGTTTAAGCTCGATCCACAATGTAGTGAGCGAGACATTATATATGCAACTCGAGCATATATATTACGTTTGATCGGCGGAATCTTGATGCCAGATAAATCTAGTAATCTTGTCCATATACAATATCTTCCGTTTTTGGAGAACTTCTTTATGACCCGTCAATATAGTTGGGGATCAGCAATATTGGCATTCTTGTATCGCGAGATGTGCAAGGCATCATTAATTGTTAATGATGCGTACACGACTGAAATCGGCGGATGCACGATGTTATTACAATCGTGGGCGTGGTACAGAATTCCATGGTTAACACCGATTAGCCGAACTGCAGTTGACTTTCCTCTTGCCGGAAGGTAATTTTATTGATTTAAAATATTTTATCTTTAATTAAATAAAAAATATTTTGTAAATGAAAAATAATTACAAAATTTTATTTTGATTGGTATACAGATGGAGGCATAAAATAGAAAGAACGGGGTTGGCGCACAACAACGTGAAAGAGTTTAGGTTTAAGATTGACATCAAATGCAAAGTTGAGGTATATATAAAATTAATAAGTGAATTTATACAATATTATGTTTATATTATAATATTGTTATTTATTAATTTGTTGATTTTTATAATTATTTAATTAAATAATAACTATATAATTTTATTTTATAGTTTATTTGGAGGCCGTACCATGATCAAGAAATTATGTCGTGCGTACCGCAACATGTCTGGGAGGGTTGTGAATATTGGTGTGCTGTTACACCATTGATCCATTTCATGTTTGTGGAGTTCCAATTTGCCGATAGAGTGTTGAGGCAGTTCGGCTTCCACCAACATATTCCAGTCATTCCAGAGAATCATGATGCTCTCCATCGATTAGATGGGCGGGGTAGGGTCGGTGAGGATTGGTCGGTGAGGCATGCTAACCATATCAATCATTGGAACAACAGGGGTTCATACTTGCCAACGCTCACTCCCATACAACCAGATGACTTTGACTTCAAGAGTTCGGATTACCTGAATTATTTTTGGGAACATGGAAAGCCGTTCTTGACAACGATCAGAGAAAGGCGACAATTTATAGAGTATACCAAAAAATTCGGTAAACCCGAGAAACCAAGAAGGACTGGGAGTGGGAGTTCTTCTCACCGTGGAGCAGAACAAGAGACAATGGATAATATCCCACCAGAATCTTTTGATCACACAAGATCATTTAGTCAAATGGTTGGTGATTCTGGTGTTACGCCCTACACTCCTCAGCATGTTCCTCATCAATCACTCATGTTCCCTCCTATGTTTGGGGCAACAAATGATTTTGATCAGATGACATCTATGATCACAAGTACGAGTGTTTGTCCTCAGATGGGAGAGCATAGTGGTGGTGGGCATGTATTAACAACACCAGAACCTATGCCCTCGATGAATGAGCAGGTTGGTTATGCTGAACAAACTCCTGAACAAGTGCAACGACAACAACGAAACCGACGTGGGCCTCGACATTATTACTCAACAACACCCCGACACCGACAAGAGTTGTAATCCTTATTTTAATTATTTGTATCAAATTAAAGTAATTGAATCGAATATATTTACTATTATTATCAGTAAATATAAATCATTAAAGTCAAGTAATTATTATTAAATCATTAAAATAAAATCATTAAAATTAAGTAATTATTATTAAATTATTAAAATTAAATCATTAAAGTAATTATTATTAAATCATTAAATTAAATCATTAAAATTAAGTAATTATTATTAAATTATTAAAATTAAATCATTAAAGTAATTATTATTAAATCATTAAATCATTAAATCATTAAATCATTAAAATAATTATTATTAAATCATTAAATCATTAAATCATTAAAGTAATTATTATTAAATCATTAAAGTTAAATCATTAAAGTAATTATTATTAAATCATTAAATCATTAAATCATTAAATCATTAAATCATTAAAGTAATTATTATTAAATCATTAAATCATTAAATCATTAAAGTAATTATTATTAAATCATTAAATCATTAAATCATTAAATCATTAAAATAATAATTATTAAATCATTAAATCATTAAATCATTAAATCATTAAAATAATAATTATTAAATCATTAAATCATTAAAGTAATTATTATTAAATCATTAAATCATTAAATCATTAAAGTAATTATTATTAAATCATTAAAGTTAAATCATTAAAGTAATTATTATTAAATCATTAAATCATTAAATCATTAAATCATTAAATCATTAAATCATTAAAGTAATTATTATTAAATCATTAAATCATTAAATCATTAAAATTAAATCATTAAAGTAATTATTATTAAATCATTAAATCATTAAATCATTAAATCATTAAAATAATTATTATTAAATCATTAAATCATTAAATCATTAAAGTAATTATTATTAAATCATTAAAGTTAAATCATTAAAGTAATTATTATTAAATCATTAAATCATTAAATCATTAAATCATTAAAGTAATTATTATTAAATCATTAAAGTTAAATCATTAAAGTAATTATTATTAAATCATTAAAGTTAAATCATTAAAGTAATTATTATTAAATCATTAAAGTTAAATAATTATTATTAAATCATTAAAGTTAAATAATTAAATTTAAATAATTATTATTAAATATGTACTCGAGTAATTGAATCGCATATAATATAAAAATTTATAAAATAATAAGATCACTGCTGAGGTCTATACTGTGGAAGGTTTGGACAATTTCTTTTTGAATGCCCTTCACCTCTACATAATCCACCTCTTCGGTTGGCCTTTCTCTCTAATATGTATATCCATACTGGTATGAATATGAGTAGATTCCGGTCGACCCGTTGGACTTCTACGAAGTAGTGGATTTGGCAACCATTCATCATGATCGCGATTGTCCCAATAAGATTCATTTGGGATCGGTCTGAACTCATGGTTGTATATATTTAATATCCTCTGTAGGTGAAAGCA